TAAATACCAGTAATACCGGCAGTGAATTGACATAATAAAGGCAATCAAGAAACACGACTTCGGAACAATTTAAGAAACAACAGAACCCTAGGCTTCAAAACCAAATATCGGACGGTACTGAGGAAGTCACGCTGCTTAGCAGTTAAACCCTTACCGTTGGAATCAAATCCTGAAGCACCGTTCTCGACCTTGGAACGCTTGGCATCCAACCCAGTTGCTCCACTGCTGTTTAAGAGGCGAGCAGCAACCTCCTGAGCTCGTTGCTTGGCAAGCTCAATACCAGTTGCCGCCGGGGGCGGGACGCTGTTATAGGAAGCAGGCGGAGCGTGAGGACCATCGGGAGATGTAGACGCGATGGGCGCGGAGAAGCCAGTAGGCCTGTGGGTTGATTGAGAGAGCGATGGCTCTTCATATTTGCGCTTGTGAGTCGTAGTATCTGTGCCCGATGAATACTGAGGTTCGTCGGCCATTAGGTTTCTTGGAAGATCGAATGGAAGAAACCCTAGACAATCAGATTAGGATCGAGATTGGCATTATTGTCGTTTTATATATAGTGGTAGTTGGAGAGATGCTACTGGAGCTTCGCTTGGGAAAATATCGTCTGCGCCTTTCTTATTGAGAACGATCTCTTTATTTACCCATCACAGTTTCGCTGAAATTTAAAAAAAAAAAAAAAACGAAATAATGGATTTTTTTTTGCCAACAGATATAATCAACCATTAATACATGGAAGACAGCATATTTAAAAGAGCGCAAAATAATAACAAGTAACAACAACAACAACAGTGTGATTAGGTTTAGGATCGTGAGACTGAATTGGGCTGAAAAATTAGTGTTATTAAATATATATAATACTCAAAAGTATGGTAGTTGGTGATATGAGACTGTACTCCTCCGGTCCTAAATATAAAACTTATTTTGTAATGTAAAAGAATAGTTTATAGTCCATTAACATTCAATGGCGCAAAATGCTGCCCCAAGTAGTGAGAAGTTACTAAAAATGACGCGCTGTCTTGTGAGAAGAGTAAATGCACAGAATGCGTGATTATTTATCATTTTTGTATATTACTATCTCCGTTTCTAATTATAAAATTTAATTGATTAATTTGAGAAAATTAAATAAATAAATTAAGTTAGTTATTTATAATAAATAGATACTGTCTTTCATAAAATATCCTTGCTAATTAACTATATTGACTAGAACTACCATTATTAGAAGGACAATTTTGAAAAAAAAAATTGCATAAATATGATAGACAAAGTGGATTTGGATCTTATATTTAGGATCAAAATAAAAATCAAATAAAATCTTATATTAAGAATCGGAGGTAGTAGAAAACTACATGGATTGGCTGTTACAGATGCTTGAGTTGTGAGTACAAGTATCCCGGAAACTAGAACAAGGATTATGTCAAATGTTTCTGCCTATTTTCATCGTCTGGCAGCATATGAATGAGGGTTATTTGTCTTCTTTTTCAAGGGAATCCCTCTTACTCATGTTTTTATATTGGCTGTCAAGGTTAGAATGGTATTTGGGATTATAGTATTTCACACTAACATCAATAACTCAACATTGGTTAGAAGATCCTAGGATAATACTGCTACATGATTGATGATTGGTATGTTGATGCCTGTGGTTGGCAGGCTAAGATATTTACTTGATTTCTCACCAATTCCGTAACTTTAAACCTAATCCTTCTGTGTATATGGATTATAAAGCTTCTCATAATTGAACAAATCATAAGAATTTCTTAAAGCCATCCGCTGAGATGCTGTGTATTTGCCGTTTTAGATGTAATGCATGCTAAATTATCGCGCATACAGTAGTTAACATTTTTTTTTTTACCCACGCTTTTATGAGCATTTTAAGAGTTTTGATTGTTTTTAGAACTTCATGAAATCAGTTATACACAAAAACATAAAATTTTACAAGACATTTGTTCTATGATTACTACTAAAACATGTTTATTTTGAAAACGTTGGCATTAACTCTGTGTTTAGTATAAGAAAAATAGAAGGAGGGGAAAATAATGGAAAATTTTAATGAGTTTGATTTAAAAAATTAGAGAAGTATAGTTATTAAATTATTAATATAGAGAATATGTAACATAAAAAGGTAATAGAAATTAGTTAAAAAATTTTAACCTCGTTTTTAAAATTTTTAAGATCAAACTTATTAAAATTTTTCTCCATTCTCCTCCCATTCACTTCACTCATAACCTAAACATTAACCATGGGATATTTGGCCTCTTGGTAAATATTAAGCCCTTCAAGAATGGCCAAGAGTTCGGCTGCGGGGTTTGGACAATGTACAATTCATTCAGTCATTTGGTACATCTCAGATAAGACCACCACATGCTGCAACACTTTTCGGTTCACAGAGCCATTCTAGAAATTTATCATAGCTAACGAAATCATATAATATTAGACAATTACTACTTTTAATTCTTAATATAAAATTTAGTTACTTAATCCGAATAGATTTAAAAAGTTTGTTGAGTTAATTATTTATAATAATTAGGTATTGTTGTCATTTGATTGAATCTTTAATTTAATATGTACAACTACTACAAAGATTATTTAAAAATAAATAAATATGAAAAACAAAATTAATTGAAATATTATATTTATAAGCAAATTAAAAATCAAACAAGCTTTTATATTAAAAAACTGGATAAAATATTATATTAAAAAATAATAAAGAAACAAAAGGTTAAAAGACGACTTTAACTCTTAACAAGTAAAATATTTTTTATGAAAAATAAACGCATTAATTTTATATGTTGAGATAAATGATAACATTGCATACGTGTATTCTTATTCATACCACAAGCTCAATATTGTGCCTGTTTGGGTCAGCGTTTGCTGCCCTAAACATGGTTTAAATTCATAAATAAACCTGATTGGAGATAGTGTGATGTTTGGCATGACTTATAATGTATTGAGTTTATTAGATTTTAGTTCTTTTCTTCCCACCTTAGAGCTCCCCCATGACTGCTCTCTGTCACCCAACGTCCTCCATTGCCTCCTCACCAAAACCACTGCCTGTGGTCGTCTCCGTCGCTTCTCCTAAAAGTAATCAATTCCCAATTGTTCCCCTATAATTACCACTACCACAATAAAATTTGAAGTATCTCACAGACTTTAAGAGCCACAGCCAGACACATAGAGAGGGAGGGAGAGAGGGACTTACGCTTAGATGGCAACGCTATAGAAATTCAAGCTCCTAGTGATGCAATGCGCGTCGTCCAAAGCCCCACACCAAGCCCTGTGACTAGCCCGCTAGTTCAGTTTCAGAGTTGGAAAACCACCTTGCGAATGCTTCTCTGCCGAAGCACCAGTAGCCGATCACCTCATCGACGAGAGACAACCTTTCAACTGAAGCATGTGCTGGATTCATCGGAGGAGTCGAAGGAGGAGGAGAGAGGGAAAGATTCAATGTGGAGGAACTCATTGAAAGAATTATTTAGGTCCTCACTTTAGGCCCTATTTGGCAGAGCAGTGAAAATCTTCTACAAGCATGTTTCACATAAACCGAGACAAAACTTCTCTAATATATTTACTTCATATTCCGTAAATCACTATTGAAAAGCAGCTTATAAGCTACTTATAAGTTGTTCCAAACAGGCTCTCAATTGGATCAAGGAAAAGTCATTCTTTAATGTATATCCTATTCTTTTTATGAAGAAAAATAGTGGTAGTGAAAAGTTAAAGTGAGGAAGGTAAGTTAAAAAGAGAGAAGAGTGGGACATATTGGATTTGACGTGGAAGAATGAATGTAATAACTAAATCTCTAAAATTTTCACATTCAATTCACTCATTAAATTTTACTTCTTCATTATGTTATGTCAATTCATTTTTTTTCTATGTTTTACTTTATATTTAAAATATTTTTTTATGATTTTTCTAAAGTTTTAAAATTTAATTCACTCATTAAATTTGACTTCTTCATATTAAATTATTTTAATTGTATTGTATTACTACCTCCGATCCTAATTATAAGAGTTAGTTGACTAATTTGAGGAGATTAAGAAAATAAATTGAGTTAGTTATTTGTCCTCAATAGGTGTTGTCTTTCCTAAAATATCCTTACTAATCAAGTGTATTGACTAAAACTATAATTATTAGAAGGACTATCTTAAAAAAAATTGAGTAAATATGAGAGACAAAGTGGACTGGGATTTTATATTTGGGATCAAAATAAAAATCAAATAAGATCTTATATTAAGGATCGGAAGTAGTATGTAAAATTATTTTTTTAATAACATATCATTGTTTATTGAAACTCATACTTATTTTGGTTATTTTACAACTAAATTTATTTTTATTCAAATATAATACAAACAATATTTTACCAATCTCACTTTTACAAACTAACTTTTCTAAATTGTAATCTAAACACAATTCAACTTATTCAATTTAATTTTTTTTCAATTTTACTTTTTCAAAAGTTAAATTAATAATAAGCTCTTTTTTTAATCGCTAATTCAAACAGACTTATTAACACTGTGCGAATTACACGATTTAAATCATTCTCTATGCAACAGTAACTTATGAGATGTTATTCGAAGTTGAAGGGTTATAAGCAATGGCAAAACAACACGTGTGAATGAGGATTCTCCCACTCATTTCTCCTCTGCATTTCTCTCTTTTTCTTGCAAAATTATTCATTATCTTTAGTTTTTAATAACCCGAGTTGACTTGACCCCGCGCAAGCGTCAACAATACGCATGTCAAAGTCGCCCGTTAATTCCAATATGCGAGACAGAGGTTGGAATTTAAAAAGTCGCCCGTTGCCAAAGTGCCCCATATTCCCTCCCGTTTTCTTCACTCACAAGCCTAGGGTTTTCACCCTCCCCCCTCCCCCCCAAATTTCAAATTTCTGTCTTCCTTTGACGCTCCAACTCGTCGCTTTACAAAATTAGAAGTCTATCAAAGGCTCGGGGCTTCGAGTTGGTTGGAGTTTGCCCTTTCGGAAGGGTACTTAGATGATCCCAACTCCATTGATTCCTCCTCCCCAAAATCCCAACATCGTTCCCTTACCACCTCATTATTCCATGCTTAAAGAATCGGTTGACCACTTCCTAACTAAATACAGGAACGGCGTCACTGATTTCTGTGATTTCAGCTCCATATTTTCTCGAATGCTGCAGAGCATGGCTGACCCGCCTTTGGGAGTCGTCTGGTTTTATTCGGCCCTTGGGTTTCATACGACCAAACTGGCAGTTCAGATAGAATCTTCGGGAAGAGCAGCAGTAGCCAAGGATTTATTTCAGCTGTTAGTCTCTTGTTCGGATTATTGTGGTTCGATGAAAAGGATTGCTATTCTAGCTCCTTTTGTTTTTGAGTTGCACCGTTTGGTGGTCGAGGAGACCGACTTGAAGAGCGAGGTCCAGAGCTTATTGGAAGGACTAATTAGTTATTGCAGCATTTTCTGTGGCCAGGGGCTTCAAGAAGACAGCGATGGGATGACCAGTTTGGACCCAAGCTTCTTGGTTGTGATTCCCGTGTGGATAGTGGATCAATCTGGGGTTTGGGATCACTCGAAAGAATTTTTCCCCATTATCAGCGACCAACTTCGCGAGGGAATAAAATCGGGATGTGATATTGGGTTCTTAGCTGGAATCGTGATGTGTGAAGCTCTCTTGTTGAATTTGTGCCTGGAGTTCGAATCAGGGATTGCCAAAGCAGAGCAGGAGAAGAAGTTGCACGGTGTAGCAGTTCAGAACATTACTGGGTTTCGTAATTTTTATTTTCTAGGTGAACTTATTCCTCCATACGTAAATTTAATTAAATTGAAACACTATAATTTATGGTTTTTTTTAGCCTGTAATTTAATTTTGTCACGTTATTTTATTACTTTGGAATCTCGATTCTCGGGTTTTAGTGAGATAAACCTTTGACGAAATGCACGTTTATTTATTTAGTTATATTGGCATTCTGATAGTCAAGGCTGTTTTGTTATTTTCGGGACCAGTACCCCGTTTTACAAGCACCAAACTAATCAGATGAGTGCGTACTATGTATCCCTCTCTTTTGGTTTTCTTTTGCACTAATCTTTTGTTGAACCTTTTGAGCTTCCTGGGGTGACCCTATTCTAGTTTTCGTGTTTGCAGTTCCTGATTTCTTATTTTTTGGGTATCAGATATCCTTTCCAGGATGATGTTGGAGCCGGTTTTGCCAGTGGTCAACATACTGGTCAGTATGATGCCTTATTTTAATTTTCCTTGGACACACTTTTCAGTTTGGAATTATTGGCTTTTACATTTAGGCAATGCACGTACTTCCCCTGAGGGTGATGTGTGATCTCAAAGCTTAAGGCGCCATAACATTAACCTTGAATAATTTCAAGATCTCACAAGAGAATTGAGGAGACTTCTGTGCCTTTACGCACAAGGCATAAGTTTAATAGATGCCAGTGCCACTGCCTCCTCGGTTGGCACGCTGAAACATATTTTACAGATGAGAATATGGATGGGGTGAGCTATTGTGTCGCACATTGTTCACGTCAGTTTACCTTAAGTTATATTCTTCATTTGATATTTGAGGTAAGGCCTGGAGTTATGGTAATGAACAAGATTTATAGTAATGAGCAAGATTAGTAAGCGTAGTTTAGATTTTGTTACTTTAAAACTTATTTGTGTTAAACCTTTTTCATTAAGTTGATTTAGTTCACTGCTTCCTCATGAATAAATACTGACTTGTGATTTTCAGTATGTTATCCTTGAGAAGGATTAGTGGATTAGCTATTTATGGTGCTCGTTAGCCCGTCTTCTTGAACATTGAAATTAAGAGTTTAGTTATATGAAATGAATTATGTCCTTACCCTTCAATATATACTTTCATATATAGATAGATAGGATAGATATATTATTATTCGGTTCAACAACTAAGTACTTGATTTGCTATATAGGGTCCTGAAAATGAAGTTCTTCTTAAAGAAGTCCTGTTCAATGCTGTTATGACGGTAGAGTACTCCTTCATTAACCCTCAAGCAGGAATTTCACTGTGTCCCAAAAGCTTGAAAGATTTTGCTTTAACGTGGTTATTTGTCACTGACTTCGCAATCCAGTCTGCTAGGTATGATGAACGACTTTTGTTGTTGTGATGGAGCAAGGGGTTTCTAAAATTTTTTGGCTGACGGGTCTCATGATCTGGTTAATCACAGGGACAAAGGCGATCAAGAGAAAGCCGTTTCTTATTTAAACGCCTTCTCTAGATCATGCATACCTACGCAATTGATTAACTGGGTTACTAGTCAGAGTAATGTTGGCGGAATGATTAGCCAACCAAATGTTTCCACTCCCATAGCTCTTATAAGTGAGTTCTTGGAAAATATTCAGAAACTCTGACAAATTTTGTCTCTTAGAATGTTTCTTTTGCTGCTTCAAATGGATGTTACTACATCTCTTAAAAGTCTAGTAGGCTATTTCAGTGAATGTGGGTTCATTCTAAAGTCCATTTTTGTCGCATTGTCATTGCCTTGTTGATTGAACTCAGATATCAGTTAACTGAGACAAGCTTCCCATGTTGTGGTTTTTCTTTCTTATTAGTTGTCTGTAAAACTTTTGCTTCAAATATCTAACAAATGGTTTAATAATCAGAGTGGCTTCTAGCCGTTGAGGATCAAGGACTGAGCATCTTCGATGGTGATACTGCCAAGCTACGTGCAAAACCCAAGTATTTCACATCAAGAACTGAGTACGGTCCCCCAATCATAAAAAATTCCTATTACAATGTGGGTAAGAATCTCTTTCTACATTCTCGTCACGGAGGGACAGAGGAAGATAAACCGGACACCTGTGATATAGACATGGATGATCCTATGGACGCCATGGTTTTGTCTGCGGACGATAGAATGAGCAATAGCGACACTGACGGAACAAGAAAACGCAAAGAATGTATTGCGGATGAGACTAAAGCAAAGGTAAAGTTTATGAGGTGCCAGTTTCAGGAGAATTCAATGAGGGAAAACTCAATTGTATTCCGGCAGCAGTGACGACGCTTTGGATGGTGGGAGCGAGCCGGATTTTGAAAGTAACGGACGGGGCAACAACCGCACGTGGATGCTAGGCAGGTCAGTCATTTTCTGCTAGTAAACCGGAAGCATAGAGAAGCCGGTCCGGTCCTTTGATAGGAACCTCGCGTGTTTTGGAAGCTAGTTTAAACGAGCTTTCACGGTTGGAATTTGTAGTTCAATCTTGAAGAGGTGTCTTCCGGGGTAACCATAGCTATGACTGCCTGCTCTTAATTCTTTGTTTCTGAATTAGTCATGAAAAGTTGTCCCTCTGTCAACTTCTGATGCGTATACTAGAAGTTACCCGAGCACGCGCTGCTTCGAAGGGAAAAAAGGAAAACAGGTGTCTTCTCAAATAATGCCGTTTAACGACCGAAATAAAACTGAGCGCGTTATTATTATGAATGCAAACAAAAAAGATTATGAATTTATTTTGTGAAACCAGCCAAACCTGCCTACTTACTCTGGAAAATATTATTAATTATTAGAACCATATATTAATAAATGAACTTATTTCCATGTCATTTATTTCAGACCTAAAGTCATTTGAAACCTTTTTTTTTTTTTTTTCCATAACTCATTGCGCCACCCCTATCCAGTGCTTGGGTATTCAAACAATCGACTAAGAGTGTGTTTGGATGAAACTAAATCATGCTTTAGAGAATAGCTTCTGGAGAATAGATTCTGAAAAAAATAGATTTTGAGAAGAATAGATTTGATGAAAAAGTGATTCTGAGAAGTGTGAGTGTTTGGATAGTTGTTATTAGAAGTACTTTTTATATATACAAATTGACATAAATTAATATGATAATTATAGAAAAAATATATTTTATGATATATTTTAATTTGAAAGAATAAAATTGTTAATAATATATTTTTTATTAACATATGTTAATAATATATAAGATAATATATTAATAAATAATTATATGTATATATTTATAAGATATAAGATTAAATATATTTATAAAAATATGTTTATAAAAAAAACAACAAGATATATATCCTATAGGTTCTCACACCCTCCCATTTTTCCTCTAAAAGTAAAAAATTTCTGTTTTTCTCAAAACTATGGTTTTGGAGTCAAAACCATGGTTTTGAACCCAAACCATGGTTTTGATTTTTTTAATGGTGTTTGGCTAACATTTTTTCCAAACCATGGTTTGGGTTCCAAAACCATGGTTTGGGGTGCTTGCCAAACACACCCTAATTCAGATTGAGCTTTGCAGAACCAGTTTTGGGCAACATTTGAAAATTGAAACCTATAAGCTTTAAATTAAAACATTTATTTTGTGAACGTGATTTGCTTTTTAATGATTCATTTCTGTATTAAATAATCTTGTAAGTTGCCAAGCTTATTCTACGTTAATAACATGTATTTGCTATAATATACGCATCACATGTGCGAAAATTCACTTTCAAGCCTCAGGGATAAAAGAATAGTTTACCAATTGCAGTTTAATAAACTCATGGTCCCGGACTTGATATGAAAGAACTGGATGTGGATAAAACAAGCTTAGCTTAAGCTAAATGACAACTAGTCGAGGACGAGTAGTACGATGGTACGTACGAGTATTATGTTAATTGAGCATCGCCTTTTGTCGAACTATCGCTGAAAGCAGATTCCCTATTAGTAGTACTGTACCTCCTGCAACAATATCCAGAGCGCATCATGTAATTTGTCTTCAGTCTATGACTTGATCCTCAAAAGCAAATGTTCCTTCCCATTTTAACGCGGCTTGCTTCCCCTTCATCTATCTCAAAGTTGATTTTCCACGGCTGTTCTCTGTTCCTCCTTCATTTCGACTAGCCTTTCTTTTATGATCCAGTTCAGCGTACATTTCCTCAATCATGGGTTTCCATAGCCGAACACGAGCATTTATAAACCAGTTAGATACCTGTGCACATAGTCGGATCATCAAAGAGCATAATCAAGGATTAAAAAACACAATTTGCAAATGATCGAATTTCGGTCGACCAAGGACGGACCTGGCTTCTCGTCAACCCAGTTCTTAAAGCAAGTAAATGTTTCTCTGAATCTTTAGGATACCTGAAAATCCATCAAATCATATCATATAAAACTATATCTGAGAATGTGGAGCTTAATGTTTGTGGGGCTCGTAGATAACATATTTTATGGTAAGAAAACTCACGGATGGAGAAAGTTCTGAAACATCCAGGCTCTTAAGACCGAGACAGAGTTTTCTGGCAAGCCCCTTTGGGGCCTCCATAACTGATGATCTTTTCGTTTCAACTGTTGGAGAGCCAGTTGCTTATGGATGAGTGAAGTATCAACAGATCTTTCCTTGTCCAGTGTGCATAAACTGTCAAAATCCCGCCCCATGGCAAGAATGTAATTGCTGATCCTCTCTCGCAAGTTCTTGTACAAGAAAGAGATCGTTTGAAGAGCAAAATGCGCATGAACGCGTGGGTCCAACTCTGTAGCAGCATGGAATGCAGACACAACAGTATGAATCTCATCCAAACACTGATTATATCGCTTGTCCACCTGAGTCAAAAAAAGATAGCTCATTGGAATCATTTTCCACTCATCAATTATTGAAGCATGAAAAACAAAAAGTGAACATAATTACATCTCTGAATCAATCAGGATAATAATTGGCGCCATCACCAAGTAAGATAAGGATGTACGCTTCATACCAGTTCTAAGAGTGTCAGCAGCTGGGATTTCTTTGATTCAGCTGCATGTCTTTCCAATGGAGCTTCCATGTGGAATTTGAACATAGAATTTGCTTGTGAATATCTTATCTGTTCAAGATTCTCAAGTGAAAAGCTTGCAAGTTGAGCAAGTATCTCTTGAACTCCAGTAAGATATCTTGATCCTAGCATTGCCTGCGAAAAATGGAAGTGTCTACCAGAGTTCAGACTCATGGCAAGTTCCCTGTTGCTGCAAGAGGCATGTTCCAATCCTGACCTTGCTTTACTGAAGCAACGGGTGATTTCATCAGAACAACTCACCTCTGAGCACTGGCCTGTGGTTTGAGATGTTGCAAGACTTAATACAGGTTCATTACTAAAATTAGATGAACCATAAGCATGGCTGCTCAAGTCTGTAACATTTGATGAAGCCCATCCATTTGAATCCAAGATTTCCTCAGGCATATGATTGTTGCAGTCATGGCCCCCGGAAGTTAAATGCAAATGACTTGGAGTATATGACCAATTGTCTAACATGTAAGGTCCCAATGAGCCCAATGAACTGAACGAAGGAGATAAAACTTGTGATTTCTCTAAATTTTCTTGAAGACCAATTCTAGCAGCAAGAATGCTAGCAAGTGAAGCAGGGGTAACTGGTGTTCCTCCGGCTGTTTGCTCCTGAAACTCACTGTTATTTATGGGACATGAAGTTCCATGTGAGGCATATCCAAAAATGTTCTTTCCTTGCGATGAAGAAAATGCATTAGAACCAGTACTTTCTGGATTTATCAGGCGCACATTCACATTGCTTACAGATGAGCCGTGCACTTCAGAACCAGAAAGCATTGATATCCCATCTATGATACGGGTTTGGTCATTGAGGTTCAATGAATAGCACTGAATGAGTGAGTTGGGCGTTGGGTTTTGTGGAGCTTCATTAATGGTACTTGAATTTTGGCCAGCCATCTCCTCTGGAACACTCAACATATCTTTTTGCATCCACATAAGTGATCGAATTTAGGCTGATCCGACGAAAAAGAATCTCGTTATCTTTCTTCCATACAAGAACTCTCTTTGCTCATTTGTAGCCACATATTAAGCTGCACCCAAGCTGAACAAGAAAATAAAAACAGGGAATGAGCGACAGACGACTAGACGATTCTATGACATCCTAATTGACAAATCTTGGCCTTAAATTTGAAATTTTATAGTAGACAATACATCAAAAGGTGAAAATTTAATATCAGATTGCTTTCAGACTCCTATCAAGTGTAATGTATCAACTAAAAAGAAGCTACAAATTTAGCAAGCCTACTTTACTCTGCAAAGGGAGTTCTCAGCCACCAGGAAGCAAGGGAAGTCACTGTATAGGACTTTACTTGAAGAACCAGAAATGGTCCAAACATTTGACAGCTGATAGACCGTATATGTGTACTTTCCTCCTGTTATCTGGAGAAGAACCCAAAAAAAGAGAGAGAGCTCTGCTTGAGGTTCAATTGTTATATATGATAGCCAAAAGGAGTAGCGCACAAGAGAAGATGGTTGTTCATGGGAAAGAGGCCAAGATGAAACCAGTAGTCCCCAGCTTACCTTGCTCAAGTTTAAACCAAACCAGAAACCCATAAAAGAGTCCTATACTTGTATTGCTAATGGCCCATTTCTTGTCTTCTTCTCTCAACAGTTTGAACTCTTACTTAACACATACAGAGAAGATGGAAGAAGAAGAAAAAGAAAAAGAGAGGCTATGTGCGCGTGTTTGAATGGTGTGGGACAAAAGGGGCTCATTAATTGAGACAGAGGGAGGGGGAAGCGCTGCTACAAAGAAAAAGAGAGAGAAACGTTTAGGGGCACTCATTTCTGAAGCAGGCTTTAAGGGGCCCATTTCTTGCCCCTCACTCTGATCTCTTTTGTCCTCCTCACTCACTCCATCTTATTATCTGCTTCTCTGCAACCATCGCAATCAAAATATATGGATTCTCTCTGTTCAAGCTTCTGTTCATGGCAGGTACTACTCAACGAAAGCCCTTTGCTTTTTTAGCTCTTTTAAAACAAGAAAGGTACTGTGACGAGAAAGATGAGTAAATGGAGTAAAAAGTCTCTTACTTTCCCTCGAGGCTGCAACAGCTAGAGGCGAATGGAATGAAAAACCACTGTTTTAGCAAGGTGCTTTTTCTGTGGGGTGGCCAGACACACATAGAAAATGAGGTAAGCAAAGCCAAAACAAATGATGACAAGGAGAGCTGAGAAGATCTTTGACGAATTTACTATAGCTATTAATGAACCTATCAATCCCATGTCGTTGATGGCATGGGCCAATCCTACGGGTGTGAGTTCTAAGAGGCATCATAATGAGCATATGCTCTAATAATTAATATAGTATAATATAATAATTCATCAGTACGTAGAAGCACAGCCTCTGTATTCATCGCAAATGGCAATTTATCTGAATTTTCTTTCGGGGATCAATCTATCTATTCATCTTGCTTCGAGGCGGATCGATGTCCTTTTCCTTTTGAGGTTTTGTTCATCATCCGCGACTTTATCAATGCCCAAATGATTTTGGACAGAAGAACAATATAAAATTTCAAAATGTCATGATTATATTTGCAGCTCAGAAACGTCTATTGCAAGGGTTTTATTACTCATATTTATCACTCTGGTACAGTCAAGTTGGTAGGTAAACAGAATAAGCACATGTTGGTGACGGAAGCTAAAGTAAAAAAGAACAAAAGAGAAGTGATCAAGGGCACGAGAAGGTGACGTGTGGGGCATGTGTAAGCTTTGGGATGATACGAATGAGTGTGTCCGCATAGTGCCCATTCTTCCTCATAAATGACAAAACCACCTTGGCCATGCAAGTGGGCCTTGGCTTCAATCTTAGCAAAACCCGCTCAGCCACTTCAATAGCAAAAGAACCAATATTATTGGATGCATCAGAAGGAATTAAATCCTTCGTAGTGCGACGAATTTCGGTTTAAAAAAAAATTCATTTTTAGTATCTAACAATACTTTCAATAAGATTGTTTCCAATAAAAGAATAATTGTGCCCAGAAAGAAAATTCAATAGCAAAGTGAACGCAACGAGGTCCCATGATAGTAACACGAGCCATTGGTAATATGATGTGAAAAGAATTCTCATTTGATTTTAACTTATTAAGGATAAATCTGAAAAATTATAAAAGTCTTAGAAACTTTAACTGACTAATATTCTTAATTTGAGCAGAATAAGAATACTTGCAACGGGATTTAAAATGGGGACTAAAGTGTCAATAACTTTTTCACAAAGTGCTCAAACGCCATCCTGCAATTAAACTTGCAAGGTGACCCCGCCGAGGGGTTTCTGTCTGGGTCATAGGCTTTCGGCCCACCATCAACCACTCGTTCAATGAATTTAGGCCCAATATCAGGCCCGACGAAAAAATCAAGCCCATTTTCAATACGTCCTTCATGGGCGACCTGCACTCTGTTTTTGTCTGTTGTCTCTTTGGTCTTCTTTTTCTCTCCAGCAACATTAAGTGCGAAAGTAGTATAGTGTGAGTTAAATGTAATAAACAACACTATTAACATGTCATAAACAATCTGACTTATTCTCAGGACCACAAAAATAATTAAGTCTTCGATTGATAAAACTAAAAAATAAAAATGTACAATCAACAGGAGACTAATATTATAAATTATATACCAAATCGATCACCCGTAATTAATTATATAAAGTAGATTTGATGGAAGCGGGAGAGAGGCGTTGATGCTGATAGTCACAGCGTCACAGCTCAGACACTCACGTGGAGGTGAAAGTGGGATCACAAGCAAGTAGAAGATTCTGTCACTTTTTGGTGACATTTAATTTAAGCCGCACGAAAAGTGTCTGAACTGCCCCACCTGCCATCCCACCCTTTAATTTCTCCCCTGTACGCATCCACCACCACTTGCTTCTTCTTCTTCCTCCTCCTCCTCCCTATGTTTCTCTCCTTTTCATCTTTCATTCAATAATGCTGCTACGCACACCTCTCCCATTTTCCATGGATGTGATATGCCAGCTAGTTATCAGCTCTATATTTTAATCTGATACATTTATTGGGTTAGCCAGAAACCGGATCAATCAATCATTAACGTAACTCTCTAAAGATGCAAGCTTTAAATCCAAATTTTTTAATGCCGCATTACCACAATAAGAAACGTAGTTATGAGTAGAACCGTATTCGAGTCGCCTAGTTTTTGAACCAGTTTTCTAATGGATAATAATAATAGTAGTCTTGATTTCAAACCAGGTATGTGTAATCTGCCCACGACAATATACAAACATACAACCGCGAAACCGTGATCGAACAGCTAGGGATGAGATAATACGATTTTTTTTATTAATAAATAAAGAAGAGACCAAACAATCCAAGTAGCATCTAGCAATAACCACTTAGCATTGAGGACGAGCACAACGAGACAGAGATCATTAGCGGCAAATCCTTAATATAGTATTCATCGATAATTAACCAATTAATGTTGTGCATGGAGGGTTGAGAGGGCGAGGAGGGCAAGTTTCTGAAGGTTGAGCTTCACCACGGTGTCCACGAACATCTTCGTATCTTCTGCAGTATTGCCCGGCGGTATGTCGACGGTATATGACTCCACAACCATAGTGTAGACCTTACCGTCGTCCGTATGAAACTCGTTCGCCGACGTGACGGAGCGATAATCTTTGAGTCGGTGCTGGCCACCCACAACCCTAAAGCTGAGTATGTGGTTGTCATCGTCTAAGATCTCGAGCCTCTCGGTGCTGGTGGATGCTGGGAGACCGGAAACCACCGTGACCTCTCTGATGCTGCCGACGCCGCCGTCACCTTTCATGTTGCAGCTCTTGATGAAGTGCTTGTATTTCTGAGGATTCTCGAAGCTCCGAATGAAACCCCACACGATTCGAGCCGGAGCCTCGATTCGCTGAGTTATGATGGAAGTGCATGTGTTGGGAGGAGCTTCGAACTGGTGATATTTGTTGATGATGGGCTCAAGTACTGCAAATTCCGCTGCCGTTAGACCATGAAGCTGTGCTTCTGACGCCATTGGAATCGATCGGAAGAGCTAGGAGTAGTAAAGGCGGGCTCTCGCACGAGGATCTATATATATATATATATAACAGCTACATCAATGGATACGGTTAATCCCCGAACATGTAATAAAGAAGATTTTCCGTATTAAATATATATATTGACTATGTATATATATGCGTGTTCGTGTGTGTGATTAGATGTTTGAATATAATCAAATTTATAGAATAAGCATCAGATTCATATAATAAGTTAAGGTTTAATCTCCAGATCTTCGATATATATTGTCAATATTTGACAAAGATTTAAATGATGAGATTAAATTCATATCATATATATTTCTCTCATCGAGATAATAGAAAGATTATGATAAATCAAGACACAGAAAACGTATTACTACCTCCAGTTTTAATTATAAGAACTGATTGACTAATTTGAGGAGATTAAGAAAATAAGTTAAGTTTGTTATTTGTAATAAATAGGTGTTATCTTTTCTAAAATATCCTTACTAATCAAGTTTGTTGACTAAAACTATAATTATTAGAAGGACTATCTTTAAAAAATTATATAAATATGAGAAGCAAAGTGAATTGAAGTCTTATATTTAGGATTAAAATAAAAGTCAAACAAAGTCTTATATTAAAGGCCTGAGATAGTATATCTTAAATGGATAGGATATAAATATTTTGTCTTTTTGAAATATTCCTAGACCTGAGATAGTATATCTTAAATGGATAGGATATAAATATTTTGTCTTTTTGAAATATTCGTACCTAAGCCATCTCCATACATTATTTGTAAACCATCCCTGTGATCTGACTATCCCCGGGAGAGGGGGAGGGGTCTAGGTTTTAATAGTCTAAAGTTCAAACCCTGCATGAGAACTCTGACCGAAGAGGCCCGGTCCGAATCAGAACCCTCTTCACCCGCTCGTTTATTTACTTTCTATCAGAGACATTTAATTATACGTGTTCACACGTCTCGTCGTTTAATCAAAAAACTACATATTTGGCTTGTGAACTAGGCGAATGGAAAGGGGTGGCCCCCAATAATCTAGCGATATGAGGGAACGTGTTGTTCGTAATTTTAAAATGCTCGGATTTGTATCTCTGGCGACTTGACAAAGGAAAGATTCGGTGATGTATTCCATTGTTATTTTTTCATATATATTACTGTCTTCTGTTCTTAATATAACAGTTAGTTAATTAATTTGAATAGATTAAAAAAACTAATTAAGTTAGTTATTTATAATAAATAAGTATTATTTTTCTTAAAATATCCTTATTAATCAAGTATATTAGCTATAACTATCATTATTACAAAGACTATTCTGGAATAAAATAGATAAATATAAAAGACAGATTATATTATGATCATATATTTAGAATGAAAATAAAAATCAAATGAACTCTTATATTAAAAATAGTATAATCAAATTAAATAGTAAAAAGTTGAAGAAAGGAGGGCCATGACAACTCAAATTTGGGAGAGCTTACTATATATTCACGCACGAAACACGACAACCTTTATTCTAGCTGCCTCTGGAGCATGTTGCTGACTACAGGTTCCAATACCCATTGAGCAATTATTTAGAAGGAAGCAAGCAAGGGGAACAAAACAAACTCTTTAATTTGTTCGCGTGATGCCAAGTCCCCTTTGTAGCCTCATGCACGTTGGCCTATTGGCTATGTTTTTGCCAAAAAGTCGTTCGACATGAAGCTATTTGAATAATATGTTGAAAAATGTGTTTCATTTACATACGAAGAAAACTTAAGAACAAAAATTAGAAGTGACAAAGAATCAAAAAGAGGAGCAAGGCCACATGTGGGTACTGTACATGTACAACTACTTTGCATGTGTGGAAGCTTTATTTGGAATTTCCTTTCGTACGGTGTGTTGGGATTCTTCATGGCCTGTTAGCACATAGCATTATTATTCTCTATTCATATACTACTTTTATTCTAATCATAAGATTTTGTTTATAGATTATAAATAAGTTCATGTGATTAAGACGAGAGGTACTAGTTAATTCCACCTCCGTTTAATTAACCATGATTCAATCATGAAACTCCACGAACCAATGACTCACCCACATAGAGTACTCCAATGAGTACTATATTAAATAAAATAAAGAGGACGGGCTCCTTAAAAGGGAAAGTGTCGTTGGTTGGACCGAGGCCTTTTGTCTTTGCCTTGGCCCTTGGTACGTCTTCGTCTTTTGTTCCAAGGCTCGCATTATTGGCGGTTTAAGGCTGAACGTTACCATTTTACCATTGGAGGAGCACCTGAAATGATCACATGACCCTTCGAGCTTGTAAACGCCTTGCTTTTCCTGGTTTCCTCACCAATATCTGTGCTCGCTTATAAATATATATATATATATATATATTAATTCTGGTCTTCGTCGTCCTGGTTTTGAGAAGCATACCATAAACAAATGATGCGCATTAGCTCTATACAGATTTACTACGTTAAGTGACCAATTAAAGCCCTACAATCTTTGCGGATAAGGTCAAGAATACAACATTAAATAATTAGATAAAGTGCTTTCCAACTCCATCTGTGCATGCAAGAGAATCTACCTTTTTAATCGTGGAGGGCTAATGTAGCTTACATATAATACTACTTTAGGTTCTAATATAAAAACCAGTTGACTAATTTGAGTAAATTAAAAAATAAGTTAAGTTAGTTATTTGTAATAAATATTTGTTGTCTTTCCCAAAATATCTTTGCTAATCAAGTTTAATAGTTAGAACTACCATTATTAGAATGATTATCTTGAAAAAAATAGATAAATATGAGAGATAAAGTGGACTGGGATTTTATATTTAGAATTAAAATAAAAGTCAAACATAATCTTATATTAAGGATCAGAGGTAGTATATTCTAACCGGAACCAGTTTCAATACTCAACAAATATGAATATTATGATGCTCATGCTACGATGAAATCTAAATAATTCAAAATCAGTTTTAATGGTCTACATTTAAAATTTTTAACCAGTGATTTTTAAATAATTTTTTTTTAAAATACTTACAGTTAAGATATTATATTTATTTTGAATTATGTACCTGTTAAAAAAAAATTTTGAAAAACGAAAATATTAAATATTAAATGCTCACCGAGCACTGTTCATAATAATTGTTACAACAGTTACATCTGAGTTTTACGTACGTCACTCGTTTTGAAAATTGTCCAATTTATTGGTTTGAACATCTGTTTACTGTGATGAACATTTAGATAGAAATTCACGTGAATTTAACTTCCTCGTCAGAATTCTTTCGGCCAAGGTGACAATTTGGTGGAACCGGTCCCATCTCTATTGGAAATCCTGTGGCTCTGGACAAATCAGTGTCAGCAGCAATCTTAAAATATAAAATATCCAGTTTTAATAAAACCATGTACATCATTATCTCCGGAAACTATCGGTTTTTAATATAAAAGTTAGGTAATTAATTTATAAATATTAAAAAAATTAATTAAGTTAGTTATTTATAATTACTGAGTGTTATTTTTCTAAAATATTCTTATTAATCATATGTATCAGAATGGAAACTGTTTAACATGTACAATTATCATAAAAACCATTTTGAGAAAAAAATGAAATGTAAGATAAAGTGAACTAAAATCTTATATTCAGGATCAAATTGAATTTTTAATTAAGTCTTATATTTATGATGGGAGGTAACATTTTTTTTTCCCCCTTTTATGTCGCAGCCAGCGACCTTTTTATAGCAGGCAGAAAAAGCGTACGTTGTTCGTCCTTGAACAACATCATCGGAACCTGCATTCTTGGCTGTTATATCTTCGTTCTTGAGGTTTTTCAGACCATCATCCCGCCCAAGAGGAACAGACACTAATTATGCGGTTATTCCGATCTGAGGGTCACACATAAAAATACATTATAAATTCAGACTCATCTATGTCATTATTAATTAATACATACATCTTCACCGTAAGTGTACTCGCAGGTTGCAAATCCTACATGCAAAGGCAAAATTCATTTTCCACTACATTTATATTAAGCTTTTATCATAAACTATACGTACATGTATTTTACTCTGATATAGCAACATTCTAATCCATATACTTTTAGGACATGGAGCTACTACTGTGACGCATCTTCAGTGCAGGGAAACCTGAAAGTGCAGGAGCATTTCATGTAGAAGTGTGGCCTTTACTTGTCTGTATCAAACATTTCTTCGACAGATTAACAATTGAGTCTGCAATGACTCTAGCACTGGATTTCATGTAACCACCTGAAACATGGGAGGTTATATGAAGACAAGGCAATCAACGCAATAAAAGTATTGGAAATAAGCTGAGAAAATACTTGAAGCAGCAAACCTGATGTGAGCATGACAATTGGAATGTTCTTTTCACAAGCAAATTGGAAGACTTTCTCATCTCTTTGCACAATCCCTTCAGGACTGATCTGTATGGACAAACCAACACAAGCACCCTACGGTAAATTGAAAGAAAACCAACCAAAAATATTCTCTTGCAACGGTTTATTTGTTTCACATGGAAACTACTCCTGATAGGAGAAAGTGAAGGTGATCGGCCACTTAAGTCAATATGAATAGAAGCTGTTTATTTATTGCAGTAAAGTAAGCCCATAAATGACTTTACCTTCAACCTGCCTAATGGGTCACCATCAAGGATGTCAGTCCCAGCATTATAAACAATCAGCTCAGGGTCAAACCTATTTCCCGCAACCTTGAATTACATCCAAAAGAAAAATATCAGCCGACAAATCTATCTGATGAATATCAGTTCCAATGTAGTATTTTGGTAAATCACTTATTGTCTGGAACTTAAAGTGGCACTGCCTCCTTCTTTTTAATGTACAGCTTAAGAAATACAATTGATATGTCAAGATTTCTCTTAACTTTCCTAATACGCTCTTACTTTATTTCAGTAATTGGTGCTACCTTATACGTTTAAAGTCGGCAAAGGTAAGAGTATAATTGGAAAAATATAATTAGTGTTACATGAAGGACATAAAAAATTGAACGGATGCGCCTATTATCAGTCGGGCAGTAAATTATTCAAACCAACAAAGATTAGAAGATAGCAATTTTTACGATGAAATACCTGAAGTGCTTCGTCCAATTTCCGCAGGTATTCTTCAGTAAGCGTCCCACTCTGAAAAAGGGATCAGACAACGAGTAATCAACATAAAAGCAGATCAGAGCAGTTAGGAATTAGGACCACGCAATCAAGGCGTTCACTGAGATAATGAACAGGCACCTTCACTTCAACTTTCTGATCTATATAATTCCTCGCCTCATAGTCCTGAATAGGTGAAAAGGGGGGAAAAGAAAAGGATATAATAGATTGTCATAAGTTGCACTAGATACAGAAAAAGGATAAAAACCCTACCAGATTTGTTTCACAGCTCAAGTTAATAATAAATAAAGATTATATGTTGTTAATGCACTACATATGCTCCCCCTGTACCAGATTTGTGAAATAATAGCGAAGCATTACAGTAAGAAACTAAATGCTACATATACTGATAAATCCATTTCCAATATTGTATCAATAGCACTTTTCCATGCATATTTTGTTTAATTTTCCATGGCGGTTACTCCCTATTTTTGTAGGTCAGCAAGTTTTTGAACCCTGGTTTGAAAGAAAACGGAGACGTTTTTCAATCCACAGAAATCAATGGGATACTGATAGAGAAACTAGGACAATGATGAACAAAACCTAGGCAAAGGACAATGATGGGCAAAACGTATGGCATAACAATATCACCTTCAGGATGCTGATAGAATTTTAGTCAGTATCCTTGAATAGATGAGAGGAATGAATAGGAGAGAACAAGTGCTTAAACAAATAGAAACTGGTGGTTTTTGAAGAGACAATGCACAGCAGATTCGAGGAGTAGAGATGACTTACAAAAGGATATATTCCAGGGTTATACATATCCAGGATATAGACACGGCCTGTCATTACAAACCATATGAGCGGAATCCTACAAATATTAATTCAAACACCAGGAGAAATTGTTTTGGCCATACTATCATTGGCGAAGTCCAATTCATGACCGTTTCCTTGATGTGCATCAAGATCAATGATCATGACCCTGTATATGTTGCAGACAAATACAGAGGCTGCTTATTTACACAGGTAAATGTTTACTTAGTAGCAGATCAGATGGTAACTTGTGACTGTATATCATAGATATAAAAGTACCTTGACATATTCAATCGAACATATGCAAAGTGGATGCATAAAGAAATATCTGCATATGCACAAAAGCCACCTCCTCTTTCAGCAGAACAGTGATGGAAACCTCCTCCTATATTAATGGCCCATCCTCTCTCCTTGGCAAGCTTTGCTGCCAATATAGTTCCTCCAACCTATCGTTTGAAAAGGAGTTGATACATAGGAATTAGAAATAGTAAGAGTAATTAAGGGTAAAAGGGTAGTTTGGGTAATTACTTTAATATCTCTATAAATAAGGACTTGAAGGGTGTGATGGGGGTCTAGTGAATGAATGATATTTTACTGTTTTACTCTATTATCTCCTTTTACGAGTATCAGTAGTATGATCCTGTTTTAGATCAGTCAAACAGACTTCAAAAACTGTTACTTCACCTGCTTTCGAAAAGGGAAAAGAACTTTCTTTTGCACAAGACAATTAGGAAGTAATGCCACAGGAGGGACCTGTATAGAAACCACCAAGTAAAAAGTCAATTGAAAGTATGCTGTTACAGAGAACAAGAAAAGCAGGCTTTCCATTTCATCGTACCAGTTTCTTTTACTCTACCGTGTCAAGATAGAATTTTATATTAGCTTAGACACTAACTTCGCAATAAGTTAGAAAAGGAGCCCCACAGTTAGGGAAAAGGGAGCATTGATAAGCACATCAGGAAAAAAGGAAAAAAAAAAAAGAAGCAAATATTTCAGGCCTGCCACCTGCAATCCAGAGGAACATACCTCAACTATCCTAGCAACATTTGAACTTTCCTTCAGGCTATTCAAGTATGATTCTGAATGTACCTATGAGGGAAAGGGAGGAAAGAAAAATAGATTCAGCAGCACTATGTAATGTGCTTAAATCACTTTACTTTAAGTAGGATTGTCATTTTTTTCTTTTGGTACTAAGAAATATCGTCATTTATCTTCATGAATTACGCCAACAGTAGACAAAAAGATAAGTCCATTATTTTCAATGAACAAAATTCAAAATATTGACCTCCAAAGAAACATGAAAATTTTTTCCTCTTGAGGGTGGAATGGTTCCTAGAATTCTTGTCCATCATATTTAAAACACAGGTATATAATATAACTTAATACCAATAAATTCATGTGCAGCAGTAATTTCGAAACATAACTATTGACTAGTGATTACCACTAGAAGATCATCCTCGGAAGCTTCAAGGGGCTCAACAATACATCTTTATCCAAAATACCAAAAGAGATGAGGAATTGACAAATGTTTCCCCATTTTGATGAATCAAACGGGTGCCTCCATCAACAAATGAGTAGTTCAAGAACATCAAAGTCACCAAGTCAGGATTCAGCCAAGGTGCTCGGATCAAAGTTAGAGCAAAGAAAACAAAGCAAACAATATAGTTGAATCATCTTCTAGGCCAATTTAAGTGCCAAAAAAAAATAAAAAAGCTTTCATACAATAATATACCAAACTGAAGATTTCAACTTGTGATATGAAAGAGGAGTTGATGGGCCCAACAACTTCTCGAAATTTTCTTAAGCATAGCAGAATCTGAGACTCCCACAACTTTGCCTTTGAAATTGTGATCCATAACGACCTACTAAAATATGATACCCCCAAAAAAATAAATGACGTCGAGATGTTATGCTGATACCTTAACCAGCATAAGGTTTTGGTCTACGTCTTATCTCGCCCCCACCCAAGAACAAAAGTGAAAAGGTACGAAGTGAGCTTAATAAGGACATAAAGAATTACCATCACCCGAGAACTTTCTAACATGACAAGAGAAGTTTGGATTAAGTAATCAAGTGCACGATTTCTTACAATTTCTCAATGCCGAGAAACGCTATATCGTACGAGTTCGAGTAGAGAAGTGGAACCTGATTTATCAAATTTCTGAGTCCAAAACGCCACATAATTCAAAGAGCAAACAAAGATTCAAACACAAGTAGTTCACCTTGGACAGAGGCACATCGAAGTAGAGCTTACTCGAAAGGATACGGCTCCGAAGAGCTTCAGCATCGTTCAATGAAGAAGAAGACATCGATGGTTCAAAAGAAATTCTAGAATTGCGGTGAAAATAGTCGTAGAGAGCGGGAAGGTTTCGAGGATGGCAGCGGAAGACGATAATGAATAGAGACGGTCAGACGGTGGATTCTGTTAAGAAGCAGCAAACGGTAACTGTAATTTCC